CGGGCCGGGACTGTACCTACTGTGAGCTAGGGGTATTTGAAAGCCAGCGTTCTGGAGCGTTGGATTATCCAAAAGAAAAAATCGCGCACATGCCAGGATGGAAACGACTGAAGACTGATATTCTCAGCAGTTAAATGGAACATATAAGCCCAAATTGCTATCTTCTGAGGGCCATCACGACGGAGTAAACGCATTTTTTCGATGTACTCTGCAGCGTCTCCGCAATGTGTAGGGAGTGTCTTCCCCTTTCTTCTTGGAACACCGAGTCCAGTTTTCTTCCAGCAGATGATGCAGATGCTTTTGGTGTCGCTAAAACTTGCATCTGCTCCTTTATTCTGGGCACACATACCTCAATAGTGTTTGTAGAGTCAGCATGAGCCCTTTCACTGAGTCGCCCCCCGCCTGCCTAGGGCTACGTCGTGCTAAACTGGCCCACAACAAGTGAGGGTTATTATTATTATTATTATTAGTATGATTATTATTATTATTTCGAAAGCGTAACGGGACTCCGCGGCGTCATCCGAGGACGGTTGCGAGAGGCGCCGAGCGAAAAGATAGAACGTAAGAATCCCTAAATAGCAGTGGGCTCCCTCTCCACTCCCCAGACGTTCTACGTACGGATGAACAAGGGCCTAAGGCTGGGGGCAGAGGAGGGGGCCTGAGACGAGTTGCAGTACACCTCGTTATAACTTCTGCTGGAAGGCGCTTCCGCGTGGATTAAGGCCTGCAAGCCAACCCTGTTTACTGTCTGCACAAACACAGTAGACAACTGCATGCGCGCAAAAGAACAACAATTGTACCTGTGTCTTTGTTCAAAATGTCTGTTAAGATTAAGTAAGGCTTCATATCCCCACTGGGGCAGACCGTGTTACAGGCGGACTAGCAACCGTCGTTGAGGTTTTTTTTTCTCGTTTTTTATGGGCAGGATTCACCTTTAAAAGAATAACTATAGGTAATTTCTAACTTGAGCCACTGCAACTTCTCTTAGCAACACCTAATATAAACGCAGACAGCTCGCCTGCCTCAACAATGCAGCAAGAGGGTTTGCATTGCTTGCTGGGAGGAGCAACGCGACTCCCCTTGCGCGTTTCTGTAATGCTCCTTTAATTGTATTATTTATCTTTTCAAGCTTCAAATAAGCATATTGCTGAGTACTTGTACTCTGACGGAAGTAAGGCAGAACGGACCTTGTACGGGCAATGGCAGGCGTGGGAGGGATCCGCCTCCTGCGGAGGCGAGTCTGTTAGTGAGGCGCATGCAGATGAGTGTGGTTGTTGTACCCTTTAACAGCTTAAAGAAGTGAATTTAAAAGGATATTTTAGTTGGCTGTACAATCATTATTGAGATTCTTCTTCTCCCATACAGTTCTTCCCCCCAATATTGAACGGGCAACTGGGGGAGCCTCGCGGCGATCGTGGTCAGGCAGCAGTGCGTGCAACTCTCTCTGTTTTCCTCTATATTAGTTTCTTCTTTAGAATTATAAGTTGAGAGGAGGGCTTGCATGCTGCATGCAGCAGTCTCATAGCAGTCTTCCTATCAGGCCTTACTGAGGCCCCACCCATTGCTGCCTGCAGCTCGCAGCGAGGGCCTTCTCCTTCCTCAGGGCCCCTTTCTGGCTTGTATACCGCGGGATGTGTAATGAATGGAGGGGCTTCTTCTCGCTTTTACCCCTAGAGAGTAGAAGGCCCTCTAGGCCCCAGTAGGCTACCCGTATAGGTGTGGTTTGGCTCCAGCAGTAGGGCCCCTGGGCCCCTGGGGCTGCTCACCCCTCCCCTCTTACCCCCTCTGCCTGCCTGCATGCCTGCCTGTATGCATGTATGCAGGCGACGTGTCAGTAAGCTTGTTGAAGGGGCGCTCCAGGGCTGACGGGGGCAGCTCAGCTGGAGATACACCCCGTACGGGCAGTGTGCATAGGAATGCTTGCATTTGTTCTGAGGATGACTGAGTTGCGTGGCATTTGGGGGAGTGGTCCACTGCGGTTTGCAGCGGTTGCTGCTGCTGCTGCTGCTACTGCTGCTGCTGGTGCAGCCGTTGGTCCCGCTGCAGCAGCAGGAGGTCCTGTCGTCTCAGTGGCGAGAGACTTGGATGGCGCAGGAAAGTCTGCTCGATTCTACGGGGGCCAAATGGGGGCCCCCTCCCCTTACCCTGTTTTAGATGCGGGTGTTCCTGAGGGTTGGGGTGAGGGGGTTCTTCCTGAAGAGGGTTTGCAGGGGGTGCAGCAGATGCCTGTTGAAGATGAAGGCGCAGCAGCAGCAGATAGAGACCACGAGATAGTAGATCGTGGAGTAGGCTCTAACCTTTCTTCTTCCCGGCGCCATACAGTTTCCGCTTCTAAAGAGCCACTCCTAGGGTATGCCGATCGCCATTGGGGGCCCCTAGAGGGCCCCCAGCCTCATCAGAAGTCTACGAGGCGCTGGGGGGAGGTTGGCGTGCAAGGAGGAGATGCTAGTAGAGAGGCATGGAATAGGGCTCTGCGCAGCGCAGGTAGCTCGATTAGAGAGCTATCTCGCCGTATGCATCAGAGGAGCGAAGAATACTGGAAAGAGCCGCGGCTCCGTAAGGGACTGATTTACCTTGCTGCTGTTATTGGTGTTATAATTGGTATTGCTTACAGCGAGCACCGCATGCGAGTATACGCAGCAGAGGGAAAGCAGCTAAGGGAGCGCGAGGCTCTATTGTTAGATATCCAGAGAGATATTACGGTGGAGACGGAGGCAGCAAAGAAGGGCCTTGAGGAGGCCCAGGCAATTAAAGAGAGGCAGGAATGCACAGCGAAGGAGCTGGAAGAAGCAGAGGAAGCACTGAAAACAAGAAGAGAGCAGCTTCGGGCTCGTTCTGCTGGGCTTCAGGAGGAGCATCTGCTATTGTCTATACGCCGCGCACAGGCGCAAATGGCGGGTCTTACGGCAATGGAGGCCCCCACTCTTGATGATGACAGGGAGCAAGCATTGCAGAAACTGCAACAAATGAAAGAAGAAGCAAACAGCCTCTTCTGGATGGATGATGAATCTCGCAAGACAGCAGGAGCTGCTTTGAGTGATATGGCGTTGTTAGAAACAGATGTTCGTTCTCGTTATAATACGCTGCTGCGCGTTATGACTATAGATGTACTGACACCGCCAATGCGGCAGCAGGCGCTGCAGCTAAAGCAGGAGTTGCGAAACTGCGTTGCAGACTTTGAGTCTAAAGTCCATTCAGCGATTGCTATCTTCTCTGATAAACTCTGGGGGCTTAAAGCCGAGCGAAAGCTTGTGACGGATCCTAGTCTTAAAAGCGCGCTGCGGAAAGGTTTATTAACAGAGTGGGAAGCGCAAGAAGAACATCAGCACCGGGTGCTTGGACTGCGAGAAGCAGGGAGAGAGGCACTTGAGGCAAGCCGAACTAAAATAAGAACTATCATGGAGGCACTGGAAGAGCCTATGCCTGAAGAAGAGCGACTACAAGCTCAAGGTTACCTATTTGGTCTAATGAGTGCAGAGTTATATCAAGAAAGTTTCTTACGCGTACTTGATGCAGATGTGGCTAGACACCTGGATAGAGCTTCATGGTTAGCCAAGATGGAGGGCCTTTTAGAGGTAGCAGACAAACGAGCATCAGCAGCAAGAAACAGCTGGAAAACAGAACGTGCAGTGCTAGCAGAGGTTAAGGGGAAAATAAAAGCAGTCAAAATTATCATGGCTGCTCTTGATGATAAGATGGATCTCTGCGCTACAGTGCACAAAACTTGGTCGGAGAAATGGGGAAGAATTGAAGGGACAGGATAAACAAAACCCTAAACTTTAAATCTTTTCTGTACCCCAATCTCCGTCAATTTTTATTTTTTTACACCGAAACTATCAATATTATTTTCTTCCGCTCTAAACTCTACCGGTATTACCTTTATTCAACCTACACTCTATCAGTATTACCTCTTTGCACCCTGAACTCCATCAGTATTACCTTTATACACCCTAAAGTTTATCAGTATTACCTTCATACACCCTAGATTCCATGAGTATTACCTCTTTACACCCTCAGCTCTATCGGTATTACTTTTATACACTTAAACTCTGTCGACATTACTACGGATTCTAAACTCCATCGATATGAACTCTATACATCCCAAACTCCATCAGTATTACCTTTATACACCCTAAACCCTATCAGTATTACCTCTTTACACCCTAAACTCTATCACCATTACCTTTATACACTCTAGACTCCATCAGTATTACCTTTATACAATCTACACTCTATCAGTACTACCTTTATACACCCTAAACCCTATCAGTATTACCTTCATGCACTCTAAACTCTATGGATATTACTATAAGGGGTTCTAAACTCTATCAAATTACCTTCTTACAGCCTAAACTCTATCGATATTACTTCTACGCATTCTAAACTCTATCAGTATTACCGCTATATACCCGAAACTCCATCAATATTACCTTTTTATACACCCTACACTTTAGCGGTGTTACATTTATGCGCTCTACACTTTGTTGCTATTACCTTTTTACACCCTTTGTACGGGGTATTGCATGCATGCGTTCACGCATATGTACTACATATAATATATAATATACAGCATATATTATGTATTATATATATATGATGTACACATGCATACGCATGCAGACACCCCGGACTTCATTATCTGTTGGACGCGCTAAACTGCACTGACCTCCTAAACGCTTCCTACCAGCGCAGCCCCAATACTCATGGCTTTATATCTACACATATATATACATATACATCTATATAAATATAATTGTTACTGTCTTCTTGTCTATGTATATATGCATATGCATCTCTCTGTGTGCGTGTTTGTGTGCGTGTGTGTGTGTGTGTGTGTGCGTGTGTATGTGTACGCCACATGTACTATATATATATGTATATATTAAAAATATATAATATAATCTATATGTTGTATATTATACAATATATATTACATATGTATGGATGCATGTATGCATCTATACATGTATGTGTACGTGTATTTATGCGTATTTGTTTGTGTACTTCAGTGCATATGCGGAT